GCACAGGTGATGTTATCTCTGTTTGGCAGCACTGTTGACATTGGCAGCACATTTGTGAACAGACTTTCAGTGTAATGAACCTTAACAAAACCAGGCTCAGAAGCACTCTGACTGATCTACACCTGCAGGACGTTCTCACCCTCTCAGTTAGTCAGCTTCAGCCTGACATTGAGAGGCTAGTCAAAGCCAAAGACCAGCTTCATGTGTCTCACTAATAGTGTCAAACTGCTGCTGTTTGCTGTTAATATGGACATGCATATGGACATAATTTGTGGCTAAATAAAGATTCATTTGCTTTGTATTTGCTTCCTGTTCTTTGTACAAAGAGTGACATGTTAAATACCTTTATAATAAACACATTTCAATCAGAAAGTGCACCAGGAAACACTCATTTTCCCATCAGACAAGTATTTACCTGTTCTCCTGTGGGGCTAGGTGTGGGTGATCTTTGATCTCTCACTTCATTAAAAACATGCCAGAGAGATTATGAAACCTCATCTGTCATGAAGTCTGTAAACTGTGGTCAGTTATACTGGTTATTCTTCAGAGATCATACCAACTCAGGAGCTGGTGATACAAACGCTGTATCCACTCACTGTGGTTTTTCTCTAAGCCAGTGGTTGGGATTGAAACATGTAGGTGAGGAAAGGAAAGGAGAGGAGGATGTGAGAACTTCCTCAAACTGTTTGCAGTTTCACCCTGTAGGACATGGTGGTCATCACTGTCAGGAATACAGAAGCTACTGTTCTGCATTTCATTTGGCAAGAAATGACTCAGTGTTTACCTGAACTGGCACAATAAAGTGAGGTATAATGCACTATTATAGTCCAGTAAGCCTGGATAGCATAGACTAAAAATGAGAACTTTGACTAAATCTACTACTACTACTTTCAGCTGTTCACATTAGGGGTCGCCACAGCGAATCAACCGTTGGTCTATGGGCAATTTAGAATCACCAATCAATCTAACCTGTATGTCTTTTGACTGTGAGAGGAAGCCGGCACCTGGAGAGAAATCACGCAAGCACGGGGAGAATATGCAACTTTGACAAAATTATTTTATAAGTTACATAAATGTGAGATGTTCCACATGTTGCAATGTATGATAATGTTTGAACAGAATAATGAAAGGATGCCTAAAACTGTTCTTAGGCACTTTTTCATTCCACTAGTATTGTTGTTTTCGGTGGGGTTCTGCAATGAGGAGAAACAATGCTTTATTCTCAGTCACACAGACGTATGAAGCCTTTGTCTAGGACACCCACTGTGTCCGTCACTGCTGTTTGATCACAACCTAAAAGAGAGAAGAGGAGAGGTGTTTTCTCTTCCTCTTCCTCTGCTTTGAAAGAGAAGCTGGAGGAGAGTGGCAAGCTTTTTGAAACCCACAGCAATCACCTACGACTTGTATGTCAGAAACAGATGGGACTGAGATTTATTATCTGGCTTATATTCTTTAAATGCATTCATAGGTATGTTTATAAAGTGTCTAAAAACAAAAACAGGACGAGCATTGCTCAAGCTTTTATTTTTGTGTTATCGTATTCAGGTGACCACTGCCATACACTGCAATACAATAAAAACAGTCATCCCCAAAAACTGAACTAACAAAGCCATATAGATTTAAAAATAATCTAAACATTAGACATAAAAAAACAAAATCACAGTTTACTTCATAAACATACTCAAAGATTTGAGAAACTCAAGCTTCATCAATCTATATTAGTTAAAAACTACATTTTACCCAGTAAATCAGATGTTTACAATGCCCCACACACAAACAAATAAAGAATAATCCTCAAACACACAGTACACAGAGGTTTAAGCAATAACCAATTTAACCAATTTTTGATTTTAGTATCATAGATTTACACAAAAAAGTCCAAGTTAAAGAAAATTTGCATATTTGGAGTTAAGATTGAACAATGATTTGTAAAAAAAACAAAACAAAAATGTTAAATATCTTTTTTTTGCATTGATTTACAAAAAAAAACACTAATCATACTCACCCATCTATTTTTAACCTTCAGTCGGTGACTATTAATCAGAGTATGATAAGTTCTGTACATGCAGTCTGCTTCACAGCTTTGTATTTCAGTTAATTTTATTTATTTCATGTAAAAAACACAAAATCTTTCTCTTTTTTTGCCTTCAGCTACTATACCACATCCTCCATAATCTGACCTACACACTTTCCTTTTTCCTCAGGAGAGTGTCTCCTGAACACCCTTTCCATTTTCCTGTAAATAGATGTCAGCGTTTCCAAAGACTTGCATCTTCTTCTCATTCTTTCAAATGATTTTTCTCATTCTTTGTTGTCTTCTTCATCCTGGAGAGCCACAGATTCACTTGTGTGTGAGTGAAGCACTATTTCACCTCTCTCCAGTCTGCTCTGGCTTCTCTCTGCCACGTTGAAGGATACCTCACAGCGACCATCCAGCTGCTGCTTGCAATGCTCATCTTGCTCTTGGTGACGATCTTCTCCCTCTGAATCAGAGTCATAATCATATGACTGTCTATGGTCTGTCTCGTGGTGGTACACATGCTCATCTAGTTCTGAATCAGATTCATAGGTTGTTTTTGACTGTAAGAGCTGCACCTGGTCATCTCTGGGATCTACAGATTGTCCTTCTGCTGACTCCTTCTGAAATGTCTCAACATCTAAACTTTGCTGGTACGTCTGTTTCTTTTTCTCTCCTGGCCTTAATTCATTAGGAGACCCCTGCTCTCTCTCCTCCAGCTCAGGGATGTACTGGTCCTCGCCTGCTGGCTCATGTTGGTCTACCTCAGGGCTGTACTGGCTTCTTCTATACAGACTCTCTTCATCCTCCTCCTGACATGAGCTTCCTGGGACGCTCTCGCCATCAGACTGGGAGAGATGGAGGCTGGGCAGACCCGGAGGCTTCTGGGAGAGGTCAAATGGCTCCTCTTGGCTGAAGTGGGTGAGAAGGCCCATTGGAGTGGACAAACAGAATCGCCCTCTTTGCCTAAATACTAAAGTCAGTGAAAATATTTTTAAAAAGTCATATCAAGCAACCTTTGAATCATAGAAAACATATGCATGTACAATATGTGTGCATCCTTACATCTCTCATCCAGCCCTCTGTCCATGACACCGTGTTTGACTTTCATGTGTCTGGTGAGGTTTCCTTTCAGTGTGAACTTGCTCGGGCAGTAGAGGCATTTGAATGGCTTGCTGTCTGAGTGGAGATGCATGTGGCCCATTAGATTATGCATCCTGTTGAACTCCTTCCCACAAAGCTGAAAGACAAAAGAGAGAGTTGTATAGTGAGGTAAGACAGTAAGTAAACTACAAAGCTAACAAGTTTGCACAGAATTCTAATTATGTGTTATGCATGTCAACAGTAAGTGTTCATCTCCTCAGCAGAAAAGAATAGTTCAACATTTTGGAAGATACATTTATTTGCTTTCTCACCAAGAATTAGAAGATTGATACCAGTATAATTTCTGTATGCACCATATGAAGCTGGAGGCACCAGCAGTTGTGTAGCCTAACATAATGTCTGGAAATAGACCGAAACAGTTAGCCTACCCAAAATGTGTCAAAACTCTGAAACACAAATTAACCAGCCGATTTGAATGTTACCACCAGATTAAATGGCCTTATCAGATATTTATCATCAGTTGCAAATTTTGTTGTTAGTTCCACATACTATGTTTTAATGTTCTACTTGGATTAATTGTTCTTTTTTATTTTGTTTTATCGTGAGTGCTTACTGTGTGTGAGTGTGATTATTTGATTGTGTGATGAGAAGCTGCATTAAATTGCCCTTACAGGAATAAATAAAGTTGAATTGTATTATTACTGTATTGTTGGGACAAACACCAAATAGGTATTATTGATACATATTATACATACATATAAACAGACAACCTCTAGAAGACATAGTAATTATGACAGGAGCAAAAGTCACCACTGAAGTCGTTGTATAAAAAGTCTGTGAAGAAGGTCAGGGTGGATGGTTGAGATGGCAAATGCAGGAATTTGAAGCAGACAGCAGCTGTTCTTTTCCCTTTTCACAGTCGGTGTTATGTCAGTAAATACTTATTCTAACCCAGACCCTGATCTTTCCCTGACCAAGTACTTGTGCCTAAATACAGTATGGTTATTGGCCTAACCTAACAGGCCACTGAGCCAGCTAGGAGGTGGAGTAGGGACCTACACAAGAACGAGACGAGACTGTATTTTAACACTATTTTTAAGAAATCCTCAATGACGAAGTATATGACAGCAAAAATAGTCTTATTTGACTGAAAGTCAGAAAATGCAAAACAATGCAGGTGCGTTTTGAAATGTTTTAACTAATCATCACTTCAGTTCTCCTTTGAGTATGAATTATCATATGCAGTAAAAGAAAACAATATGCAAGCACTGGAAAAAGTTTTGCCACAAACTCAACTGACTGGCTTCTCTCCTGTAGGATGTCACGAATCTCTTCAGACCTTCTTGACTGTGAACTATGCATGAGCTTATAACTTCTAACTGAAGCTGTGTGTGACCTAACTGAACTCCCTTCCACAAAGTAAACATAAAAAATTGGTGGGGGCATCTTCTATGCTATTTTCACTCTCACCACACTGCACCGGACAGTTACATCATCAAAGGCACGGGGAGCAGGGAGTTGCATTTTTGCTGGAGTACAGTCATACTACAGTCATACTCTGTAATACTGACTGCTGTTTTTCTGTTATGTACTGATATTGCGAGGCAGCTTTTTCCTCAATGAGAAATATCATCCAGTTTTAACATCTCGAGATCTTGTGGCACGAGATCTCATCACACCCCTAGTAGCTATTTATATTTTAGAGGCTGATCATATGTTTGGTAGATAAATTCTTATTCTGCAGTGTAATTGTGACTGTACCTGTCACATAAATGTAGTTGAGTGTAAAAACTTGGTAAACTCAAGTACAACTACTTCACAGTTAAACTGAAGTACAGTATCTGAGCAAATGTATTTAATTACTTTTCACCGCTGGCTATAGTAAACACTATTTCAGGATACAATCAACAATAGGCCAGCACCATCCACCTATTTTTCTTTTTCTGCCAAAGACTATTCATTGTTTGATGACCAATTTTCTCAGAATGCAGCGCTAAGTGTAATCATGAATGAATGTGCAGGCATTCAGATCTACATAGACACATATACACTCCCTCTCTTTATCCTTGTTTTTCTTTTTTCCACTGTCTTTCCCTCCCCTCTTCCATTCCCTGACATACACAAGAAAAACAGAAAGGGAGAGAGAGAGCAAGAGAGGGAGAGGAAGCAACATCGAGACAGGGCCAGGAGGAGAAGAGGGAAGGGCAACTCCTGCGCTGTCCTTCCTCTGCATTCTTTTTTATTAGGGTGGTCCTTTCCTTCAGGAGGAGAGAGGGACTGTAAACTGTCCAAGAGGACCGTGAGAAAACAGGAAGCTCCCTCCAGCAGCAGAGAAAGCAAGATGAAATCTATTTGCGGGCCCCGTTCTCCGGGGAGGCTGGGGGGCCATTGTTAGAGAGGCAGTTTGTGCTGCAATATCCTTCCTATGGACAAGGAGACACCCACTGCCAAAAGCCTCTCTGCTATCTGGTCATCGTTTCAACCCTCATACCAGACACCAAAGATCAAAACAGACCCTTCAGAAAAGTGGGGGATCCTTTAATAGCAGCCAACACTAACTATTATAGGCCTTGTTCCTCTCTGTGATCAATAAAGAAAATTTGAAAATTTAACTCGCAACAAACTGAAGTCATAAAAGGTGCATTCAAACACCTTCCAGTAAAAGAAGCAAAATCTGAAGGAACAGTTTGCCATTTTGAAAAATGCTCTTATTCACTGTGTGGCCGAGAGTGAGCTGAGCAGACTGATCTGATGTCTGTGCACGGAATATGAATTTATGTTCAGCAGCTTAACTCAAAGACTGGAAACAGGGAAATGGCAATCCTGGCTCTGTCTAATGGTAACAAAATCTTCCACATATCTCCCCACTGTGCCACAGTCTATTACTTTATTCTGTTGTAGCCCTCGAGTCCAGGACTTGGACTTGGGTCTGACGTGACTTGACTTGGACTTGAGCACTGATTACACTTGGACTCAGATGTTGGAGATGAGGGCTCTGAATGTTCTTTTCTTTTTTTGGTAATAGGACATAATAAAATATTGATATTAAAACCTGTTCACCTGCACCATGGTGCATTCAGCACACATCCGTCAAGTTGCACATTCCACCTTCACATGAACGTTTTTAATGTCTCAAATTGCCGAGCTATTTGGTGACACTGTTAGCACATCCAGTGCTCAGGATAGCCAAAAAATTCACATTGTTCACTTCTAAGTAGTGTGTTTGTGTGTGCGCTGACAAGTGCATTTGTCTGGCTATTGTTTTACACAAAGTAAGTTAGCTCCTCTTAAAATTATGAGAGCTGTGCCAGTTGTGTTTACTGTAGACTCTGATGACTCTGACTCAGGGTAAAAGGGACTCAACTCTGACTATTCTTTGGTGACTTGACTTAAACGCTGTTTTTACAAATTAAACAAATAAAGTATAATATATTAATTAGTACACTTCATAGGTAAGTGAATTTTGTTACATTTGAATGAAGCTGGTCAAGCTGTTTTCTCTTTTTCCAGGGATTATTTTAAGCTAAGCTACTGGCTGCAACTTCACAGTTACCAGTATGAATAAAAAAAAATTATTTTGACTGCTGGTAGGAAAAGGTAAACAAAAAGGTTCCCCTGTGCAGGCCGATCCTCTGCAAACTTTGTTGCTCTACAATAACGTTGCCTCTCTTTGCTCAGGACAAACAAAATCATACTTAATATGACTACGCTATAAGGTGTTAGTCACGTTGTGGTGGGGGGGCCTTGCTGAAAATACCGATTTGGTCATTTTTCTTAGGACATTCTTGATTACTGTATCTTTTCATCTAACTCTTGCAAGAAAGCTAATAAGAGTGTTTCCCCAAATGTTGAAATATTCCTTTAATCAGTGAATGAAAGGTGAACAGAAGGCCAAATCTCAACACAAAGAGCCACACCTGGCATGATTAATTTCACCGACCTTGCATTTATAGGGCTTGATGTCCGAGTGGACGATCATGTGAGCCTTGAGAGTCTGTTTTTGAACAAAACTCTTGAAGCACATGTGACACTGGTAGGCTCGTATGTTGGTGTGAATGAGGACATGGCGTTTCATGTTGGCCAACAGGGTGAACTCACGTCCACAGATGCGACACTTGTGTTCCTTCACACCCTGAAGAACAAAAGAATGTGGAAGTATATGTGTCAGAAATGTGGTCAACAGATGAGTTGGTCTGCTGTGTAAACTGCTGCTTTGTTTAACCTCTTAAATTCCACTGAGCTTTATGTTTTTTATTTTAAGCTCTATTGGAAAGCCCAAAGTGCCCAGAGATACAAAGTATGTCAGGGTGACTTTTGGGAAGATGTGAATGAAATGAAGGTCAATACATTTAGAATATTAATATTACACTGAGAATTTTGCAGCCTTAAAGCCATGCAATCTCATTGCTTCAGTGGAGCTGGGACAAGCTAAAACAGTATGTATACATACATACACATTGTCAAACAGTGTGAAAAGAGGGAAATAGAAGATGAAAACTGGATGTTAAGAGGTTATAAATAGCTTCAGGAGCCCAAATTTAAGAGGAAATTGCTTTGAGACAGCTGCCAAAACAAAACACTGCCTGTTAGGCTTCTGTCCAAACTCTTTCAGCCATTTTCACCATCCAAAATGTGACTGAGGACTAATGGAAATGTCTTGATGTGACAGCAAAATTGCTAACTCTGTTTGGTGCCAAAATCTATGTTTTGGCATTGACAATCCCTGTCAAAAAATAAAAGCCTGACAAAATGCTGTGTCTTTTCTCTGTGTCCTCCAAATTAAACCTACTTTGTGAGTAAGCGTGTGCTGTTTCAGATGGTGTGACTGGATGAACTCCATCCCACACTCACTGCAGATGTACGGTCTGATGTCTTTGTGTTTCATCATGTGGTTCTGAAGCTGACTCGGGTACTGGAAAGTCTTCTGGCACTCTGCACACCTGCAACAACAAAAGGAATAACCTCCTTATACAGACAGAAAGAGAAATAAAATGTTAAAGTAATAGTTCTTCATTTTGAGAAAAGCATTTATACACTTTCTTGCCAATAGTTAAGAAGATCAATATTACTCTCCTGTTAGTCCATTGAATATAAGGCTAAATGTTTAAGCTAAATTAAGCTGCTAATTGTAGCTTCATATTTAGCAAACAGACATGTGATGGTGTCCATCTTATTTAACTCTCGACAAGAAAAAGAATAAGGCTTAGTTCCAAAATGTTAAACTCTTTAACAACACAAGATTTTTGTGCTCACCTGTACAGGGTGGGGCCACGGTGGGCAGTCAGGTGTCGCTTCAGCTGGGCAAATGTGGGAAAGTCCAGTCCACATTCAACACATACGTTCTCCTGGCCTTTTTCATGCTTCAGCTCATGGGCACGAAGCTCACTGGGGTAAGCGAAGCCTCGACCACACACGCCACAGCTGGAGGGCCAGAAAAAGTTTGTGTGTGAGTGAAAGAGAAATGAGGATAAGAAAAGCCAATACAGAGCTAAAAATGACTTCAAATCATTTACCTGTATGGCTTCACATCACTGTGCTGCATCATGTGTCTCTTCAAATGGCTGGTCTGGGTGAAGGCCTTGTGGCACACCTGGCACTTGTGAGGCCTCATGCCCTTGTGGGTGAGCAGGTGAGTGTGCAGGTGGCTCAGCTGCTTAAACAGTTTCCCACACAGGTGGCATCCATGTGGCTTGATGCCATTGTGGCCCAGGATGTGTGTGACCAGGTTGTACTTAGAGGTGTAGGACTTCTCACACATACGACACTTCCATCGCTTCTGGTCACCACCAACATCCACATAGTAGCTGTCATCTACATGGATGTTGAGGCCAAGCTTCTCAGCATTGGTCATCCCACTTCGAGGAGTTCCATCACCAGTACGAAGACTGGAGCAGAGGTCTTCTCTGGGGTAGAACGCACCAGGAGGGGAGAGATGCATGACAGGCCTAGGCATGAAGAAAGGGTATGAGAGGAGGCTGTTGTGGAGAGGTGGGAAATATGGAGGGTGGAGAAGGAGAGGAGAGGGAGGCCAAACAGGGGAAGGACTGAGAGGCTCCTGTTTCACTTGCACAGGTAGGTTCATAGCTGGTGATCTGCGAAGGAGCTGCAGTCTGTTGAGCTCAATCATACCAGGGAAGGGTTTTAGAGCTGGGGAAGTAATGGGGTGAGATGTTAGGGAGAAGGGGGTGTGGGAGAGGTCTACTGTCTTCTTACTGCTGCTTTCTTCTGCTTCTTCTGCTCCTCCGCCAGACTCGCCTCCCTGGGCGTCCATTTTGAAAGGAGTTCTTTTGCGTTTTTGGGATCCCTCCTTTTGGGTGTAACTGGAGCCGAGCATGGGAAAGAAAGCAGGTGGGCTGAAGGCACTGTAGGTGTCTCTGGTTGGTGATATACTGGGAGGTGAGAATTTGAGGGGCTTAATATGGAGTGGAGGTGGGCTTAAGTAGAAACTGTGCTGAGAGGGATGTCTTAGTTCATCTCTAAGAGGAGGACTTCTTCCTGGCGTAAAATTTACCCCGTCTATTTCCATCTTCTTTCTGCATTAGAAAGAGAACAAGAAGTGGTTAAATATCCTTCATTACAACGGTGGAAGTAGATTTCAGATCTATTACTTAAAGAGGAAGTCAGCCAATTTTATGCATCAAAGTTTGTTTACAGGTCTTGGGGAGTACTAGTACAGCGTATGGGGGGAAAGCTGTTCAAAACCTTTTGTTTCCTTAGAGATAGTAGCTTCAAATGTTGCCTTGGGTGATGTAAGGCAGCGGTTTGAAGACTACAAGTTTGAAATTGAAATAAATAAATTGGGAGTGTGGAGCTTACCTCTGTAGCCCACTGCTCATCCCTGACTGAAGCTGGCAGTTTGAGGCAACATTAGCCATTACTAGCACAACACACCTGAGTCTCACACTGAACTGTAATGTACGCAACAAGCTGTGTGGAAACACCAATTGCTATACAATATTTGCTTTGGTTATAGCAGTTTTGATCCTTTTTTCGTTAAACTGTCCATTGTGAGTTTGACAGTGTTATAGGAGTGTAATACTAAATCAGTATTCTTTTAGGTATAAATGAGAAATAACACAATGTGAAGTCCTGCATTTAACTTTCTGTTTAAATAAAAGTATAAGTATTATCAAAAAGAAATACTTATAATCTAAAAAGTACTCATAAAAAATACAAACTACCACTGGTGGTGGTGACTGATGGAGCTGCTTCATATACAGTTAGTGTAGTCCTGTGGTTCCCAACATATGGATCAGGGCCCATAAAAGAGTCTTTAGATAACTCTAGTGAGTAATGGGATGTGTGAAGGCCTCAGCCCTGGCCTTCACTATGTGAGAGCCTAAACCACCACCACCAGCAGTAGAACTGGTTGGGTAATCATTTGTTTTCTATATTTAGGTGTATAGTTTTAAATTGTAGGTAGAGGTTAGGTATTGTTTGACATTAGACATACATAACTGATCAGTGAGCATGCACATTGGTTAATGTTGTATTGCTAATATGTGTAAATGTTCTCTTGAGTTACTGTGTTTCCTGGTCCATGGATGGGGGGCGGTTCTGACAAAAGATTAGACTGAGGAAGCAACAGGTCTAAATACCTCCCAGTAGGCCTGGACTGCACCAAATGCCCAATACAAGGAAGGGGGGTTGGGAGAAATGTACTGTTTATTTGTTTGTTGTTTAAAACTTTATTTGTCAAGTTATGTTAATTTCTTTACATTCAAAGCAAACATTTAGTTGCTAGCAGACTGTCTGTTTAGTGTTTAGTAGTTGATTATTTTGGTAGTGTCGTTGGTCCACCCCTTGTGTGTGTTATTGGTTTGGCCAGCCAATATATATGTTCCCCTGTGTGTGTGTGTCACTTGTTAGGTCAGTTGGTTTTTGTGGCGGTATTCGACAGTTCAGTTTGCTGTATTTTGAGTTTGCTTATCTTCTGTTGACCTCTTTTGGGGCCCAGTGTATCTGATATTAATGTTTGTATTTTTCTTTCTTACTTTTTGGGTTAATAAAAAGCCCATTTCTTTGAACTTTAAGCTGTGTCTCCTGCCTTGCTGTTTGGTCCCTGACAGGATGAGATGATTAGAAAGGAAATAAACAACTAAGTTTTGTTAAATTTTTAGCCTTTTTTTTCTGGACTTGAGATTGAATTTTGCTTTGTTTTGTGAAATACTGTATAATTTGACTTATTTAAGATGAGCCACCTGAGGGGAAATCATTCTTTGGTATTACCTTTAAAAAGGCAAGGAACCCCAACAAGACACTATTTTTTTAAGGGGTTACAAGACACAGAGGTTAGGAATCACTGTTTCAATTTTTAATAGTGCATTACTGTATATCTTAATGTTAAATCTTAATATGTAAAGTAACTTGTAACCACAGCCATCACATAACTGTAGTGAAGTGAAACGGTTACATTATTCTTCTTTGAAATGCAGTCCATTTGAAAAATAGAATGGAAAAACATGGAAATATCCCAGCAAGTAGGTCAAAATTGTATAAGCACAAGTGAAGTATTTTGAGTAAACGTACTTTGTTATTCTCCACCACTGCTTACCAATGCTTGCTGCCCGAAAAACAGACACATCAGCTGGAGAAAGATTTGAGAAAAGTGTATCCAATGACTCTGTGTCTGGTTTCTATTTTTGATATGAAACTGTTTTTCTGAAGATTTCTGTGGTGACCAGGCACACACACACATAGTACGGTGTCAAAACCCACCTTTCAGTGCTCAGCCTGACACCTTTCACTTCTTGCTTTCTCACAGATCTCCTCCTCTCCTGAAATTAGGAAGTTATCTGTGAAGTGCTCACCTCTACCTCCCGCATAGTTTTCGCTTCTCGATCCCTTTTTTCTGCTCTGTTCATCTTTTTTGTTTTTGCACTGATGGCCAGGAAGAACTTCCTTTTTCCCCCACCACCGATAGTGCTGCTGATTCTCTGCCTCTGTGTTCGTTGTAAAGTCCAAGTCCGATTCAATTACTAATAAACATCACACTGCGATTTTAAGATGTCACAGAGCTATAAATTACATCTCCACTGCAGTTTGTGTGTGTTTGCGTCAGTGTAGGTGGTGGTCATGGAATAAAAGATGCTGACACTCAGAGGGGAACTGTCTTACTTCTGCATGACATTCAAAATAGTGATTAGCCATTTTGTACATAAATAGTTCCGCACTTATCAATGAGAAACTGCTGAGAGGCTAATCAAGCCACTATACTGTATCACGAGCACAAGTTCTACTTAGTCTGTTACATGTTACATCTCATTTGGCTTTTACAGATACAGCAACTATTGATGCATCAGTGTTTGGTGAAAAAGATATCAGGAAATAATGAAAATGCAGTTGCAATTTCATTACATAAATTAGGGATGAGCTGCAAATTGTCCTTATTTTGAATTTGGGACTAGGGAATATTTTGACATTTCTTCTTGAGAAATTTCTGAAACAATCACCAGTTTAGTTAATTTTCTGTTGATTGTTTGATCAATTCATCGATTTTTTGCAGCTCCTAACACATCTATCCAGATTTACATGCTGTACATGCAGACTGTAAAACAACAAGGATGACACAATTTGAGAAGATCATGAGATGAAGATCAATGAAACTGGAGGGATTATAGATAAATTCGCATTTATATAATTCACAGTCATTTTGTTTCAGCTAAAGCATACAATGACATTTTCAAGCAGTGCAACACACTCTAAGAATAGTATTGTTCCAAAATACTGAAAATACAAATTACATTGTGGTGCAAAACTGTTATTAGTGATATATAGAAAACATAAAACCCATGCAGAATGCAGGAGGAATGTTGTTCAGCCAACTAAAATATTCAGTGGTCTGTTTCCAGCCAGGTTCCAATTCTCTCCTCGATATTATCCTCTTTTCTTCGTCCTCGTCACCTCTCTCTCTTAAGGTGCACTGTGCAGAGACCCCAGCCCATACTTTGCCACACCATGCATTCCAAACAATCCATTAAAACTGAAGCCCCTCCTCACCCATATACTAGTCAGTGCCATGTAAGTGTGTGCTTGTGTGAGGCTGCAGCGAAGTCTGTGTGTGCAACTTACCAGCTAAGTGTAGCAGTTTACTATGATGCTGTGGCTGAAGTGGTGCTGCGGCTGCTGCTGCTGCTGTTGTACCTGTACCTGTCTTCTCTCCCTCCTGCTCGCACCGCTACTCTCCTGACAATGAGCCGCCCGTCCACGGATAGTATTTGAAGTGACTTAAGAAAGAGAACAGGAACAATCACTTTGTTCTCATTTTTCAGATGAGTACCTTCGGAGAGAAGGAAGGAAGGGAGGGAGAGGAAGTCAACAAGCCTAGTGCCTTCCTGCAGAAAAAAAAGGAAACACTAGATAGACATCTCCATTTCTCTATGAAATAGGGATTTGTACAGCTTTTGGAGAAATATAGTGAAGCCAGAGCCGATGTTTCATGAGAAAATGCTGCAATTCAACGCTCAACAGCTGTGAAGTGACATGTAATAATGAATGATGATCTCAGTTTGTGGAAACCACTCATCCCTTTCTCTTTATCCTACTCAAAGACATGTATGTAAAGAAAGACTGATTATGTATCTATAGTGAATCAAACCTAGTGTTTTTTTAGATGGTGTATAATTTAGCTCAAATAAGGCTCAAAAAGTGTTTAGGGTAAATATACTCTTTTTCAGGTATTTTAGATTCTAACAGACAACAGTCATACTTAGTCCTTATAGGTGCACAGTTTCTGTCATACAGGGGTTGTGCATCATAACACAAATACCTGAATAGTATAATGAAATCTAGCAGAAAACTCCTTCTAATATTTACCCTTCCATTTGACATTGTGTATTTATTTATTTTAAGAAACCTTTGAACCTTTAGATTTTTTCTTCTTTATGCTAATGTTTGGTTCCTTGGTTGTGATGGTTTTATAATGGAATGCAAAATGTTGCATCCAACAAAATCCCAGTTATTTTATCCACCTCCTGTAAAAACGTGGCACATAAAAAGAGTAACACAGAAATGAATGCAGTAATAAGGATGAAATGTGTCAACACAACCACTAGGAGGCGAGAATGGCACATCACTGATTGTCTTCATATTGGCTCCGTTTGCAGCCGTGCTTTATGACTTGTCTGTGGCTGTAACATCATGTCACTCCACGTCCTACTAGTCCCTTTTGGCACAGAAGTTAGCGAACAAAGATATCGCTATCAACTTGTTGTGAACTGAGATGAGGTGGCAGTGAGTAGATCAGGAGGAAGCTGCAATAATTGAGCTCATATCATTGAAACAGTGAAACTGTCTTTTATGGATTGTGGTTGATCATTAGCTGTGTTAATTAGCTTATAAGACCAATTAACCTCAGACCTGGACAATGTGTGCATCAATTCCTGAGAGGAATTAAGGGTTTTATTAATAGAACGTAACACATATAGGTGTGTGTGCCTGTTTCTGTCTTTTTTGGGATCATTCACTTTGTGTACAAACATCCACTGAATCACAAATCCTGTGTACTGTACTGTACTGTCAAGCCAACATGGCAGCTCAGCAGGCCAGGCCTTCAGAGGTGTACTCCTTATCATGACCTTTTGGAACTTCTATTTTCTTACTATTTCCTGCTTAATACAAACAACGAAATTTAGTGTAAGGGTGTCTCCTTTTTTAAATAAAGGTAGATCAAAGTTGTACAGCGCCCCTGTCCACCAATGCTTTGAATAATACCATCTCCCAATTCTCCCCTTGACTTCAGGCTTTCCTATCATCTGTAACATGCACGGTCACGCGCCATGAGTTCTTCTTTAATGATTCTCAATAGCATGAAGTAAACCAGGCCATAGAGCTGCCCGGCCCTGTGACCCTGTGACCTGCCCAGTGGTCACCTTTATCTCCAGAGTTGACACTAACTGAAATAGGCTGATTAACATTACCTAAGTGGCTTTTGGGTTTCTGTGTCACTCTCAGAAGATGATCTAGAAGTATATAAGGCACGTCAGTGACACCACACAAGACAGAGACCAGGACAATCCTCTGGGAGCATCTGAAACAAGGACTTGAAGTCTACTTCTCAGTGACTTTACAGCAACGAGTGAGTCAAACCGCTCTCTGAACATCTGTCCAGCTTAGATTTTGTGGTCAGTTATACTAAATGCTTTCCTTGTTTCTCCCCTGTCTGTTGTTCCTTCACTCTCAGCAGAAATGAGTGGAGCCGCTGCGTCCGTGTGCCTTCTTTTTCTCCTGTCTGTATGTTCAGCATGTTACATCTCCAACTGTCCCATCGGTGGCAAGAGGTCCATCATAGATGCACCACTGCGCAAGGTGAGCTGCTTTTATTCATCTTGAACCTAGATTTATGAAAAGGTAAAGTCAGACAAAATTATCAGGAAACTGGCAACTGTATGTTGAATTCAAACAGGTTTGTTTGTACAGCCCACAGTCACAATTCACAAAGTTGCCTCTGTGCCTAAACCCTTAAATCAGGCAAGGAAAAGCAACAATAAAAAAATAAATAAAGGTGGAAATCTCGGGCAGAGCGACAGAATTAGGAATCCTCTTCCTGTGGACGGGTCTCTGACTTATATTAGAGTAGCAATATCACCGTGTAAAAATGCTCTACTACAAGTAAAAGCCTTACATTCAAAATGACTTACTTAACTGAAATTATAGTAAATAATTAGCTTCAAAATATATTGATAGTGCCAAAGGAAATAACAACATACATATTTCTGGATTCTACTGTTGCATTAATGTGTAAACATCATCAATTTAGCTATCCATCACCATTATAAACACAATATACAGCTTTAGTTGATTTTGTATTAATAATGTTAGTCTGGAAAGTAACTAATAAATATCATATTTCATATAAAAAAAGGTGGAATAGAAATGTAAAATAAGGATTTAAATGTGCACTTGGGTAAATTTACTTGTTACATTTCACACGGTAGCTTCCTTGAATTCTTTTATTTGAATCTTAACAATTATACCTAAAAGAGTTGACAAAACTATCATGTTCTAAATGAAAAATAAGGTCATAGAAATTCACAAATCCACATCCGAAAGCTTGACAGTCACACAAGATCATGATAAATATGGTCTACAAAGTGCTAAATGGTAGTGAAATTCTAAATAAAACCAAGAATAACCATTTGTTTTCCCCTCCAGTGCATGTCCTGTGGCCCCGGAGACAGGGGCCGCTGCTTTGGCCCCAGTATCTGCTGTGGGGAGGGCCTCGGTTGCCTGCTGGGCTCCTCAGAAACCGCTCACTGTGTGAAAGAAAACTACTTGCTTACCCCCTGCCAGGCAGGAGGGAGACCCTGTGGATCAGATGGAGGACGCTGCGCTGCCTCAGGACTCTGCTGTGATGCCGGTAAAGAACTCCTGAGCTACATAAAGTATTATCAGTAAAACTGACTTGCTATATATAGCAGTACCCACTATGCAGGCAAAATTGTTCTGGACAATAATTACTGTGACTAAGTGACAAAAATGAAGTTGATCATCGCTATTTCATATCTCCTGATTAAATATACTGTATAAGGATGAACTGTGTTATAGGCTTTTAAATCTGAATCTGCCACTAATAACTGTAGCTGCAAATAAATGTAGTGAAGTATAAAGTACAATATTTTCCTCTGAATGTTGGGAGAAGAAGTAGCATAAAATTATAAAAGTCAAATAATGTGGGAGAAATTTAGAATTTTATAGGTAGGCTATAGTATTTACAGTAAATAAATTCACATAGAGTTACCTTCCACCGCTGCATATGGTACTGATCTATGTAGATGTCAAGTATTTTTCTGTTTGATTACAAGATGACTTCTTCAGTGGAACAAAATTGCTGGTTTTAATTTCAACTTTGAATTTCAAGTCTAAAATTTTACTGTACTAATGTGAAAGAGCTATTATTTAAGTCACTGCAATCTTCATTTGTATTCTTGTTCTGAAAAAAGGCTCATAGTTCTAGGTCACAAAACTTTATAAAAACATATTGTGAAGTTTACAGCTGCAAGAACAGACAAGCGTGTTCTCAGTCATACTATATCTCCTCCTCTTTGCAACAGAGAGCTGCACCACAGACCAAACCTGCCTCACTGAGGAGGAAGGAGACGACCAAACCAGCCAACCTGAAGGCAGCGGCCCCACTGACCTCATCCTCAGGCTCCTGCGTCTGGCTGGTCACACATCTCCTCTTCGACTCCGCCAGTGAGCTGCTCCTGATACCAAGGTCTCATGGGAAACTTAAAGCTATAGGGATGAAATCGGACTTATAATTCTGGTTCATCATTTGTATTTCTCTGTTTGTCATCATCACTCTGATTTTCCTGGAGTATTTCTGTAGAGTGCCTTTGTCAGAAAATAAGGATGAAAACTGAGAGTGGACATCCAGATATCTGCATGTTAAAATAAAGTTTTGAGAGAATATAAAATGCTGTTGTTTTTAAGAGCCAACAGACTGCAACTTTTATACAATACAGACAGTTTCACCCTGTGAAATCCTTTTCTCTAGAGTAAAGAACACATCTCCATAAACCTTATCAGGCCACTGTGTTAGATATATTCCGCTATCAACAAATGTGCAAAGCCCAGAGTTGCCTTTATCTCTCAAATGTTTAGGTTTGCACACAATCCTGTAACAAAATGCTGTGTAAATCCAAGCAACTCTCACATGACACTGTGTGCTTCAGTGACACTATCAGTGGCGCAACAGTTATGATAGTTATCTTGTGTAGTAGTCACCTTTGATCCATTTTGGTTAAGTTCATGGTTAAATCACAAGCTCTTGTTCAGTACTAGGGGTGAACATCAAAGAAATTAGTTATAAAATTCACACATGGTCACACCAATGACACCGATATTTGGCCCTGAGACCTGATAATCAGACACTTCTATTAAATTTCATCTCACAGATCACTGTCACATAAAGATGTACTGTAAAAGAAATAAAAAAAAATGTAAAAGGTCATGTAGAACAAAAGATACAAGAGCAGAGGTGAAAGAACTGACTGAAGAAAACCTTAAAGGAAGAAAAATAGAGAAACTGGATAAAAAGAAGGAACAGAAATCAAGAGACCAAGCGTGGAGGATTGAGGGAAGGATGATGGAAGACGGAAAGCAGCAAACTGAAACATGACAGTAACATTAGGCCCTGTCAGCAGCTGTTGAGGTACGATTCATGCAATGTCACCATATATATTTGTGTGTGACCTTTATGATCACTGCATGCATTTCAGTAAAACGTTCAAACTGCTGTCATACTTCTTCTGTCGAACTTTCTCTCTCTCTCTGCCCTTGTCTGTGGTAGTGGAGCTTCTCTGAGTGGATTTGCCTTAAGTGGAAACACCTGTGGTTAATGATTGCAGCTGTACTTTGAGAGTATAAAACAAGCTGCTGTGCTTTCTTGTGGTACCTTCACTGTCTGCCACCATGTCCTTCTCTGGAAAGTATGAGCTGCAGTCTCAGGAGAACTTTGAGTCTTTCATGAAGGCCATTGGTATGTATTGTGCTTCTGAGTGACTTTTTGTCTTAGTTGCTAATGTTGTGTCCTGTGAAGTGCATGTGGCACTAGGAAAATTTAAAGTGGGGAAGGTCTTTCTCATCCAGCAATGACTGTTCTTCAGGCTTTAAGTTAAGAATTGACAAACTTTTAATTTTTTTTTTTTTTTTTCCCCTGAGTTCAATGGCTTAATGAGTTGGGGTTTTGTTTTTAGGTCTTTCTGATGAGCTCATCCAGAAAGGTAAAGACCTCAAGAGTATTTCTGAGATTGAGGAAAAGGGTGACAACTTCAAAGTGACTGTCACAACTGGCACAAAGGTCCTTGTTAATATCTTCACCATTGGACAAGAGGCTGAGCTGGAGACAATCACTGGAGAAAAAGTCAAGGTAAGGCAGGCTGCTGGATTAATGTGGTTACTTGGAAACCAACTGCCTTGATCTTAAAATAAGATGCAGTTATCAAAATACATGTTGGCTTGATCTCTGATTTAACTCTTTACAACTTTTAGTCGGTGGTTCATCGTGAAGGCAACAAGCTGAAGGTCACTCTAAAGGGAATAGAGTCGGTCACAGAACTGGTGGATGGGGACACGATTGTTAACGTGAGTAGATAATGCACAAAACTATGCTAATTCAGTTCTGGAGTTTGGATTAATGTTGGTTTTTTTTTTTTTCCCCCCTGCTTTTAGACACTGACTCTGGGTGACCTTGTATACAAGAGGACAAGCAAGAGAGTGTAAATGTCTCACATGGGATAATAAAATGTAAGCTGCAAAACTGTCCTATGGTCTCTTTACTGAAGTTGTGACTCTAAAACTAAATCATAGATGGGAGGCATTTGTAGTCTGCTTAAACATGACTTTTATTGTAGGAATAACTAGAAGGCAAAAGAACTGACTCAAACTGGCCATGGTTAAAGGGAAATGATTTGTTTGCAGGCTGACAATTGAGTTCAGAGGCTGACACTGCTCAAGCTGTACCTAGGTTGCTTGTGCTCCAGCAGTGGGTATGTGGGCTATAAAAAGGAACAAAATGGATGGTCGGCTCTATCAAAAACAGCAGTGATCAGACTTGACTAACAAATGGCTGCAACTCAAACATCAGTCATCTGAATTGACAATGGTGCAATGCAGAGCAGCTTTCTGACTTGACAGGGTAGATGGGCGGGATGTGAGTAAGTGTAGTTCTGTCTCTTACCTGTGTAAAAATGTGTTTTTTTTTTTTTTTTTTTTTAATTAAAACAAAACACAAATGACTGTAGACTTGCCTCACAGATTTCTAGAACAATACACCTGTTTGCTTGGGGCCAAATTCTCACACTAGCCTGTGTGTGTGGTATCTATTGTATGCTCAGGTGGCTTGTTACTGCATTAATTTTGTCCCTGACCTTTTGCAAGAACTGCATTTTTGCTTCACAACACCAGACAAGTTCTGGTTCCTTTATACAGAAACAAATTCCTGGGCCTTTTGTCAGGTGAGCAAGTAATCACTTTAGGTGGTCCGTCTATGCAAGTAATGCAAAGGTAGAATTTCATCCATCTTCAGAGATGAGTCAACCACACCTTATGTGACCAAGCTAGCTCTTATCAGGCAGCTCCATCTTCAGATGAGTGTCAAGTGCGGGTGCTAGTGTTCCAGCTGCACACTTAAGGCTGCTTTTACTGTTGAACTGGCTGAGGACCCACTAGTAGACCAAGCTTAATTCTCCTCAGCAGCCACCTGCTTCTCATTCTGAATGGAGTCAGCAAGGACACTGTCCAGGTGTAAACGTTACTGTCCTCCTGTCCTTGAGAGTTTGGGCAAAATTCAGACCTAGTACAATCAACCTACTGCAATTGTTTACAAGCTGTGCAACAGGACTAAACATGTAGCAGACCTTACCAGAGCCCCAGCTGCTACCAAGGAAAAGAGCAAGTAACTGGACATGAGTAAATACTGAACTGGTTCTCGTGGGCAAGAGCTAAACAAATCCTGTTACTGTTAATAGCTACTGTCTTGATATGTGCAAAAACAATGCCACCACAGCAGTGTATGTCTCTAATGGGTTTTTATGACCTTCCCCATATGCTGTAACCCTGTCATCCTATCTCATGGGAAAAAAAATTCCCCTAAATGGTAAAAAGTCATCTACTTCAGCTCACACCAAGTTTGGTTAGTCTTGTCAAATAAGCCTTTGAAGTTTGCAGTTTAACAAGTTCATCTCAGCTATTGTAATTACCCTGCCCCATGTATATTATGTGCAATATGAGCCTATTCATGTCACCATTTCATTGCATCCACATTCACACTTAGCAATCTAAAAACAAACATTGTTTCAGTAAAATTTATTGTGTTCATCTTCAGTGTCACAATAAATAGATTATGCAGTCATATTTGTATAAAATCCTGTAATATTACTTTACCATTCTTTGTGTTGTGACATCTTTCCCAGTTTGGTAACAGCTTCAACTTGTAAATAAATGCACATGTACTGCCGTCCAAGAGGAGAGGGGAGAGTGCAACTAGTATTGAGGACAGTTGGGTGCAACTGTAGGGGGGAGACAAACTGCCTAGTTACATATTGTTGCTTTAAGTTTGCCTTTTTGGGTGTGTAGTGGGGTTCAAAAGTTTCTTATTCAGGATTAAAGCATTACTAGTAACAGCTTAAAGGTGTACCTGCTGAAACTTGGCTAACATGTGGATAACATTAGGGAGCATGGCTGATGGGCAGAATGAGTGTGCACTGCATATTTAAAAAAAAAACTAACTACTACTGTGTATTTCTGCCTATGATTTTAGTTCCACTGGCTTTGGACTTTTTAAAACAAAATGCAAAATTTTAATGTGACCTCTTTAATGAAAAGTGTAACAAAAGAGTGATACAGAAAATGATCACATGATTAAATAGGTAGACTCACACCTGCACTCCAAAAACTGTTCACAGTAAACAGGATGGTTGTCTTGACCCCATGATTACTTCCTCCGATGGAAGAGATTCTTGATTCCCTCCTCTACAGACTTGGGTTCGTGCATCATGGTCATTGGTTTGTTCTTCAGAGCTGCTTCTCTCATACTGTGATAAACATACTCGTTCTGCTTGAACATCCTCAGCTCCATTTCTGTCTGCACCCGCATTGCCTGTGGGGATATCAGGAAGGAAACACCAGTGTTTCAATAGTCAAGCCATGAGTTAGCTATAGTATACAACTAGAAAATGTGATTTCTGAAGAAACTGCGGTGGGATTGCTGCCTGCTGAGACAGCTTCATCCAAACTGTGCTGCTGCCTGCTGGAAAAGCTTAAGCCTAACTGAACTGCTGCTAAAGGTGAAAATAACTGTTAATAACTGGGTAAGAAACAATTTGCAGAATGGGAGAGACTATTTTCAAGGTTCCTATGGAAGGGTAAAAAACCCAGGGTCAAGTATAAAACCCTACAATTGGAAAAAGAGAAGGGGAGAAGGAGCCTTCCATCTTTGCAAGAGTATTATTATGCTGCCCAGTTGAGGCCACTGGGGTGCTTGTGCTCTCCAATCTATGCAGCAGGGTGGAAAATTTGTTGAGGGAACAACAATTAAAGGAATACCAATTAAGGCTTTAGTAGCCGACACAAAATTGCGGGCAGAAATCAATATACCAAATGAGCACATATCTTATACGATGTTAACAGCGTGGCATGAAACAATTAAAATGTGTCATTTGGAAGACTCATCCAAAATTTTGCGATGGTGTGCATATGACTCAGAGTTCATCCCAAACAAATATGATGACAGGTTTATTAACTGGATTTCAAAAGGATTAACCTGCTATAATTCATTTGTCCAAAAGGGGACACTGCAAACTTTTGACACCCTGAAACATAAATATGGCTTGAGCTCCGAGGACTTCTTCAGATACCTACAGGTTAGACACTATTTTAATAAGAATTTCAAAGTGCCCTTAGCTGACCAGGGATTCCTTCAAACATTTATTTCACTAACAAAATCATTGTCACCCACAAAAATGATTTTTAAATTATACAACAGCTTTCAGCAGAGTAAGAGGAGGAACACATATTACATAAAGAGAAGTGGGAAAAAGAAGGAGGGTTAACTATCACAGAGGAGAATTGGGAACACATATGTCAGATGCAATGGGCTTCAACAGAATTGAACAGTTGGCGTGAATTTTGTTGGAAAAATATTATCATATTTTCATTACCCCTGCTCAAAAAAGATATCAAGGAATTGGAGATGCTTGTTGGAGATGTGGCCACAAAGGGGCGAATCACTTCCATATCTTTTGGAATTGTAAAGTTGTTCACAAATACTGGTCTGAGATCCATGAACATTTACAAAACATGTTTTCAATTACCATACCATTAACATTTGAAACCATGTATCTGGGTAATATAGTAATTGATGGGTTTAATAAGAAGGATAAGAAATTACTATATATTCTGCTGGCCGCGGGCAAAAAATCTATCACAAGAAGATGGAGCAAACCTGAACAACCAACAACTGATGTCAGGATGGACATCATACAAGAGATTTATTCAATGGAAAAAATGTCCTGTTCACTCAGACTGCAGAAGGACACATTTTACCAGATATGGTCGAAATGGACGGAATATGTGAAACCTGTAAGGCCTGACTTTGTGTAAAACCACTGGGTGCCTATGTAGTAGTGACACATGTGATACACAGTGAGGTACCAATAGAGAAGAGGTTCCCCTGCCCCAGTCATGTTCTTTGTTTGTTGTTGTTTTTCATTTTATTTTTCTGGTTTAAGAAAAAAAAGGAAAAAAGCAAAAGTATTGTATAGTAATACATTGCAGATTGTACTCATTATGCAGCTTGCTTTTTCAAAAAGTAAATAGGAAAAAAAATAACTGGGTAAGAAGTTAAATAAATGAAACTCCATCAATACAGATGACAATACATTGGTGTATACTGTATTTGTGTGCCTAAAAGATTGTGTTTTTGAAGAGCCAGTGTATTCCAGAGCCCAAACGGTGTGTTTTCATAATCTGAAATAGAAGGCCAAATGCGCTTGCTCTTCAAACTATGAAATTTATGGCCTGACTACAACTAAAAAAGACTTTTAATTTAAAAATCTGGCATGTTACAGGGCATTTGTATGAGTTCAAACTACAGCCTGTGGCTCTTATTTTGACAATCCAGCATGAAGGAGAGTGAGGACATCTCTATTGACTCTATAAGGACAGGTTTTTTTTACAGAAGTGGCAGATTATGGGGATGTCAGGAGCAGCGCCATAGAGTTACACGGATTTGGCTGCAATCTTCCAAAGTGAAATAGCAATGTATTATACTTGTGACATTTTAAGTTAGTGACATAGGAAGAACATATCATTGGGATCACTGGTGTAACAATCCCACCAAACCGACCTGGCCGCCGGCTGCCACCTTGTTCTCTGGTTGCAACTTAAATTTGGTCTGACAATAACCTTGAAGCAGAGCCAAATAAAAGCCTAACCACATTGTCTGTACATATTTTGAGATTCTAAGACATTTACCTCCAGGTCTTTGGTGATAGGATGTGTTGGACCGTGTGTAACCATGAGAATGGCATAGGCCTTACAGATCATACCATGTCCAACCTCTATCTGTCCAGCTTGCCAGTGAGTCACTCCTGCTCGCATGGCAGCCATACCGAGAACAGCATTGTTTGGATGGTACAGCTTCCTGTCAGAGGAAAGAAACTTTTTTTGTGTGTGTGTGTATATACAATTGCTGGAGAGAATATAGTCAAGTCATGTGTGTGAGTCACAACAGACGGCTCACTATCATACTTACAGGTACCCCTCCACCATTTTGCGTGCGTACTCTGCTGCGTCATCGAAGTACTGGAGATAAGCTTGCACCTCACTTAACGTGCTCCACATCCTCAGCAGGTAGATGTGAGTGTCAGCCAAAATTGACTCTGCTTTCTCTATGCATTCCCTGCAGATTTTCACCACCTGAATAGAGAAAAAAAACAACAACATGAAGAGGAGAACTCTTTTTAAAAAATTAGCACAGCATTGGCAAGAGAATAAAAATATGGTTTGAATTCTGTAGTGTGATTAAAAATGTCCTAATATATTTTTTACAGTAATTTGTTTTACCTCATGGTAGTCTCCATTTAATCGAGCTTTATCCATCTTCTCCAGCATTTGAAAGCAATGATCTGTTGCCTCTTTCACCTGTTCCTCTGAAGGCTAAAAGGTTGGAGATGTGAGATTGATTCAAATTTAATGAGAGAATGAAATAATGTTGCACCACAAATGTTGACACACTGGCAATTAAATACACCATGGAATCTGCTTTACTGGATATTTTTGTAAAAGACATACTATCTAATTTTAAAGAAAACAGATTTGCCTTATCTAGGTTCATAAAACCCTGATTATTTTATTTTAATAGGACTTTGGACCTGCTGAAAGGCTCCTGTCCAACACTTGAATGTTTACCTAGCTAATAACAAACCAATTTCATACAAAATTTGAAGACATTTCTTGTTTATAATGGTCATTATTAGAAGGCTAAATTTGCCATATCAAAACCGTTTTGGTTAGCATGTCAAATTTCTATTGTTATAAATAGAAAAACATTCTTCTGCTGATAGCTCCTGACACCTGCTATTTATAACTCGTGACACGCAGACACACAACGTGGATTGTGCTCATCATATTGTGCAAGTGTAGTGTTTCACAGATTAAGATAATGCCGAGCTGTATCGTTCAAGGTCATCAAATTACTAGAGTTTTCAGGGTGTGAAAGAGATGAAACAACATGAAAGAGATAATTCCTGGTATATGATAAAACACTGAAATGCAATTACAGCCTTGAAATAATTAAGGTTATTAGGTAAATAAACTTTATTACAGTAATTTTTCTTGCTCTTGCTGCAATTAAAAGTCTGAACACATGTACATACACAGAGTGAGGAAGCTAAATCCACTGAGAGTTATTTTTGCTTAAAATAGTCACCGCCTCTGCATCTCATGTTTCCCATCCATCCTTATCACCTATGAGGACTAAATGTGTTGACAGGGTTTGTTCCTTTTTGTCTTGTGCAGTATAAAAATGAACACAGTTACATACGATGACACAAACCTTGACTCCATCCACTTCCCTTCCCCCCATCTTCAGGTCATCTTTGATGCGGTTCTTGCAGTGCTCGCACGTGCAGTCAAAGAAGTACTGCGTTTTCAGCAGTCTCTGTCTTTCCTCTGACAAGTTCAAGTAGTCCACATATGCAACAGTCAACTCCTCTCCCTCTGCGATCTTACCCAAAGAACGCAGCTCAATCCTGAGAAAGAAAAACACAGGTGAATGCAAGCAGATGTGCAGTGACCTGTTTAATTCATTTAGTTATCTGTTTACATAGTTTGATAGGTGGTGAAACCGTGCTCCAAAGAATGGCTTTCACTTCCAGTCAATCCAGCTGTAGGATTGATGGAGTGGATATTAGTGAATATCAGAGAGAATATGTCAAAGTTAAGCCAAAGTTTAGTTAATTAATTATGTGAATATACCACTTTTCTAAATGTACATGTATCTGCATGCTATCTATAAATGAGCAGGATACATTTCATACATGACTGGACCATTTTGAGCAGATACTTTCATTTACATATACTTAGTTTCATTTATTGTTAATTTGAGTCTCACCCATTTGGTTTGTTTTATTTCTTCCAACATTTGCAAACACACAATACTGAGTCTACATTTAGCAAATGTATGACAAACCTACTTACATTAGTAAAGGTTAAAATGAAAAATGTAATATAAGCTGAAATATAAAATATTATGTATACTGTACCTAGCTTTAAAAAATGAATGTTTACATTAAAATATTGTTTTTGTGATGTTTTTTTTAGTCTGATGTTGCATGGAGTTAGAGGTGAAGTAATTAAAACAGTGTTATATATATTAAAGAAGCTACTAATAAACTTTAACACAGTGTGTAGGCCAGACACAGTGCGGTCAGACATGGACAGACGCACAAAGTGACAAAACAGCAACACATGAGTAAGACTTTGTGTGGACATGGCAAACAGATAAATGTGTGTGATTAAAGAATGAGGTGAAGAAGTATGCAGGGTGGAAACGGCACCAGCTTTTAAATAAATGTGAGAGCATTCAAGCAGCATATTGACGTTCTGATGTGACCATCACACCAAACATTCAATGCAAACAACAGGGTACTACTGACAAAGGCTTATTTTGTACAACACAGAGTGGGAGGGTCGACGGTGGTTATACAGTACGTAATGATGAATTGATTAAGAATTTTATGTGGTGCTCTAATAAGTAACAATTAAAAAGGCTTAAACTGAGGTAACGCACCTCTGTTGAGAATGAAACATAGTATTCACATCCGATTGACTGAAAGACAAACAGGAAGCAGTTTTACACCAAATGCAACCTGACAAACACACAAACACTACACAGCAGCATGTAAACACACACACAAACATTTTACATTTGAACTTTTAATCCAGTCAGTTCCAACTAAATACAAAAATGAGTGGGTTTAACTGAAGAGCAGTTTCACCTTAAGTGGTATATTTGTACTTACTTGCCGTGGTTGAGGATGACAGTGCAGTTTGGCCAGCAGTCATGGTTCACTAGACACAGATTTGGGAACAGACCGACTCCCACTGCCTGAAGGCCCCTGTGGTCACTCACAGTGAAACCATTACAGTTGATCTGGGAGAAAGAGAAGTAATGTGCACATTCAATTTTGAAAGGCCCTTCTAAATACAATTCAGACCTCCAACCCTCTGGCTGGGAGATGACTGCTCTACCCACTGAACCACAGTCGCCCCTTAAACTTTCAAGATTAACTTGTTAGACTGTGTGAACTGAGTAAAGTTAAATGTGGAAACTTGTGCTTTAAACCCGCTGTTTGAAGGAACATTCTTGAGTTAACAACATAAATATGTTCAGTCGTCCTTGTCACCTTGAAACTGTGTTGTGTAAATATTTTCATATTAACCAATGGCAACTGCTGACAAAACATTTGGGGAGTAGGGGCAGGTTCAGCTCATCTTCTAGTGCTGGTTCACTGAAGAAAGCAGTCCCTGATTTGGTACACAACACCTACAGTACTGACATAATTCAGAAAAGACAAATGTAGTGTTCAGATATTTAGACGCACCACTCCAAACATATGCGAGATGACGTCGACTGTGTGCTGCTTGTTGTTTTGAGGCCAGTAGTCCAGGAAGTTGTGGATGTCCACTTTGAGCTCCTTCATCTCATCCTGTTGCATGTCAGCGATGTGGTCCTCCAGCTCCTCCAGTGTGGTCAGCTGCATGTCAGACACCATGCTTCCCTCCTTGTCAAGGCGCCACATGATGCGAGCCACCAAACTGCAGCGAAGAAGAAGAAATGACTGCGAGGGTCACAGTATGTCAAGACTAATTTACAGTATGTATTAACTGAATAGGTTTTAAGTTTTAAGTGATGACATACAGTACCACATCTGTTGTCCTGTCATACAGTAATGAAGCCAAAACTGATGCAACTCAGAAATAAATTAACTTAATTAAATGTGGCTCTATGCCTTTGTAGGGTTGTTTGTTTTGTTTTGTTTTCTCTTTTAGTTTTTTTACAAGAATCAGTTTGAATCAATAAGCAAAAACAACACTGCACCAAACAAACTTCTGCTTTTGTGATTTAGTAGGCTGCATTATTAATAGTATGTGTGCATGTTCTTTACATTGTGGTTTTGTTTTGTTTTTTTAACATGTTATTTAGCATTACTGTCACTTCCTGTTTTTTTCCTTCCACTTACCGGATGTTCTCATTTGGTACTTTGCCATAAGCTTTGATGGCACTACATTCTTGCTTGTGTTCAGCCCAGCCAGCACGCTGGCAGGTTCGGTCACAGTAATGAGCGAATTTGCACTGGCCGCACCTCTGGAGCTTGTCTTGTCTGCGGAAACAGCTGTGGCAAATGCGTTCTGTTAAACTGTAGAAAACCAGAGAAGACAGAAAAAGAAAAGTTGTTATGATTCATACGGCACATGCATGTTGTAACTACAGTTCTCAAAGGAAGAGTTAGCCTTACCCATCTCCAAATGCACTGTTATAGTGAGCTACACTGCTTCTTTGTAAATGTATTGCATTTAAATACAATCTTTCATATGAGCTGATTCTTTCTATATCATCTTTCAGATGATATCATAATAACATAACATCAACTCAACAATTCCATACTGCACCTCACAGTCCATCTAGTAGAAGTAAATGATATAGAAGAGGGCTTTTGTAAAGATAGTAAAGTCTGGCCTGTCATATTATTTTGAAGGTCATAGAAACTCATGAAAATTCAGATACTAAAGGAAAGTACAGCTGTGCATTGTTGTCTGAGAGATACACTAAATACTGTATGTCATGATTCTGTCTTCCACATTTTATTCCTGGTTATTCCTGTTTGCTAGTTCTTTCATGTTATCAGCACTTATTTAGTTACAGTTATGTAGGCAAAAAACATCCCAAGTAGGAGCGTTCTCCATCGGGGAAACAGTTGTCTCCACATGATGAACTAACATTCATCTTTATGGCCTTTCAAAACAGAAAAATGTGAGATAGTGTGGATGTAAATCTAGAAAAAAAATGATTGTCCAGCTGCCCGAGTGTTCTCATAATCATCACATCTGAACACATCCCCCACCACATCCAGAACTCACATCATCACACATACCTGTCAAACACAACAGCTGCAAGACTGGGCTCAGAAAAAATGACATCTCCAGCCCAAAACTCCTTGGTCGCCTTCAAACCCCTGCCCTTTCCAGGTGAGTCAAATATTGCCACATTCTCCATGGAAGCTACACTGGTCTCCACGGTGCTGCTGAATAGATAGTGAGCTGAGTGTTTCACTGGTAGAGAGAGGATAACTACAGCAGTAAAGTAGCTGAGGAACTTGTAGAGCAATCTCTGCCCTCTGTGTTCTTCAGTGACAACTGCACATTCCTTACCCAAGGTACTAAAATAGCTATCCACCTCTTGAACTGTACCACGACAGACACAAAATAGGTTGGTGGTGATTTGACTCATTATGTCACAGAAAAATAAGATATATTTATTGGACATAAATGTAAATAAAACCAACAACCGTGCATGAAAATAACACTACTGAACTCACTGTCCTTCTTTGAAATCCTTTCATTTATGATCACATTTTCTGCTTTTTGTCCCAGTAACTACCCCCATTAGTGAATTGGTAGGTGCCCCAGTCCTGGAGGGTTATTTTTGTACCCCAGTTGGGGCTGTCTGTCAGGAGAGTGTGGTGATGCCGGACAGCTGTGAGAGGTTTACCAGAATCAGAGTTGCTCTATCTCTCTGTTTCTTCTCTGTTCTGGTGCCTTCTCTCTCTCTCTTCTCTCTCTCTGTAATTACGATTGTGGTTATGACAACAACTTCACTGTCATACACTCATATACATACTTTGAGGGATTAGCTTTAGGGTCCCCAAAATGGACGTCAGACCCCACAGTGTTATGACCAGGTTTGGGTTCCCACAGTTTGATATATTAAACTGTAGAGTAGAATATCTGTTGATGTTCCCCAGCTTCAGTGTGTTGACATAAAAACGTGATCCAGCCATTCATAGCTCCATCTTGGATGATAAAGTCACTGTAAAGTCTATTTGATTTTTGCATTAAATGTGATATCTTCTGCTCGTTTAAATGAGGAATTTGACCTGTATCCTCATCTGTGACATGTCAAGTTGCGACATTTTGTTAAAATGAGTTTTGTTTTGGCACTTATTGTAGGTGAAAAGCTAAAAGCATCCAAGCAGAACTACTGCACACTGAAGATGGCATAGCCAAAATGTCTGTATGTGACAATTTAAACTAAGTAACAGGGAAGTCTAATAGATTTACAAATCCTCTTTTGGATAAAGAAGAAAAGACACAAACATGTGCATATAAAAATGTCCTCATATACAACACATACATGCTCACATTTTCTGAAAAGGCTAAATCAAATCTAACAATATATGTCTTATATGTGTATATTCATATAACTTTATGTGGTCTTAGTGGTCAGTTAAGTTTGGTGTTGTATTACAGACATCGTTTCAGTTAATGCTTAACAACAGATACTTGACACCAACATCACACACATAAATATAATGCAGACATTACTTTACAAGGCATTGCATATTAAACACACAATCAGTGTCAAAGCAAGTGAGCAAACAAGCTATTCTCATGTCTGCAGTCTCCTCTCGGTATCAGCTGTTTAGTGCAGTGTGATCTGTGTTCTCTCTCTAATAATGTACAGGCGGTATCAGCTGTTTAGTGCAGTGTGATTTGTGTTCTCTCTCTAATAAGAGAGAGTGTGTGTGCTGGACATCAGTGAGAGACTTTTAAAAGGACACTAGGCATCTTAAATTGTTTACTTCGGCGATCCTCCACCTAGGTGACTGCCTAGTTAGCCTAAGCATTCAAATGGCCCTGCTCCACAATAAAGGAAACCAATGAGCACACAAGATAATAAATCAGCAATAACACTGATTAGGAAATTAAAAGATAAGAACGCAATAAACCCATAACATACCAAGACACAACCGTGCAAAAGTACCACAGAGTCATCATACATACTGTAGACGTTTAAGAGGTACTACAGTCATATGTATGTATATACAATCATGGCTTCTTCCAGTGGCTCAGAATCACCTTTAGATGTTGGAGCAAAATGTGATCCTTTCATGCATTCCTTGACTTATATGAGTGAATCTCTTGCATGCTGTGTTTGATCTGATTAAATACTCAAGCTTGTGTGTGTTAAATGGCTGATGCTGACATAATCACATAAAACAGCTTGTACCTCTCAGTGTTAAACAGGGAGAGAGAAAATAAGTCAGGAACTGCTAATGTGTATATACAATGTATAAAGTGGAATGTAACATTAATAGTGGTTTTTAAACGATAATGAGAAACAAAGACTTTACAGGAGAATTAGCAAAAAATCAAAGCTGTCAACCTGAATACAGGTATTCTTTAAACATTAGTTAAAGCATAGAAAAAGTAAATGATCCAAGGCTTGTGCCACTAAAGGACTGACCCTCGACCACATGCCTTATAGGACCTTGTGAAAGATACAAAAAATGTAGGTCTGTCAATACCTCACAATTTAATGACACCGAATAAAAGATATCACATTTAAGTCTGAACTTTGAAGCTTCAGCTGAACTTTGAAATACATTTTTGCACAATATAACGACAATGTATTTTGTCCCACTTACTTACACTGCAATACACAGCCAACATAAACAGAAAGAACAATTATAGCTATGGTTAAATCTTTCAGTGTTGATGTGGGAATGCCAATATTGTTTCAAGACTTGAAAACTTTGAACTTATCTTTTAATAATAGTAGATAATGTTGCATTTGGAATACTTATGGCCAGCCTCACATGTGCTCTCCTATGTGTTTGAACAGCATTGCTTCATTCTGCTTTTTTAGTAGTAAACCCAAACTTTAATTCGGTATAATATGAACAGCTAACATTAAAGGAAATGAGGGAAACATGATTGAATCTTACTTCCCCGATTCTTGGTAAACAAAATGTATGTATTAATGTATGGTTCAAAGGATATACATGCCTATATGGAACTTTCTCTTAAATCAACAGAGGGGGAAACAGGGATATAGAAATTGCTGGGGAAGAAATCGCAGCCCTATGTGAAGTTAGTGTTTTATACTACTATGTTTACAACACCACTGTCCCCTAGTGGACAGTCAGTGGAACATGCAACAGAAAAGGTGCCTCCTTGTTAGAGAATTGCCAGTTTAATAATGTATAAAGATTACATCAGCCTAAAAATCACATTAATGTGGGAATTGGGCAACTGTACTGCAGAACAGTGCATGTGTCCTATCTTACATTACTATAGAAATCTGGGATGTGGTAGGCCTAAGTAGTAAGTGTATGCAACAGATCAGAGGATCATCCTCTGGTACTCTATGCATGCTTTCTTAATTTCCTGGAGTTTTGGATTTACTGTGCATGTGTGTTGTATTTGGGCTGTTCTGCTCCCTACAGGGGGCACTCCGGTACTCGTCACAATGAAGGGATGCACACTGGCCAAAAAACAAATGAGTGAAAGAAAGGGGTAAATCAAGGCTCGCCTGATTAATGTTGTATAACTTCTGTGAGCAGCAGCAAGTCACTGACTGCAGAGAGCATTGTCCACAACAAGAAAATCATAGAAAATAAACATTAGTTGAAACATGCTATTACAATTTTTAAAAAATATTTTTCATAACTAAATGTATAAGTTTTTATTATATGTGTGGTGTGGAGTCTGAAAGAGCATGGCACTTTATAGGCAGGGTAGGTCTAATGAAAGATTGAGTTGCATTGTGGGAAGTGTAGGATTTTTGTAGCTTGGCCCTTATCAGGGACCAAAAATCAGGGCATCTTGTTTTGCAGCATTGTTTTTCCTTTAAAATTCTGTTAGCTCACATGTCCTTATGAAGGTGCAATACTAAATTGCTGGTATTCTATGTAATTGCATCCACTGGGTGCTGGTGTAGCCTTCCAGCATATACCCACATAACAGGTTTTTGGATCTGAATATCTGTTTGTGCATCTTTCTGTAATATAGTTCCTGTTTGAAATTTTGATGTAAGGACAAACATGGTTACCTCAAAATAGTTACAAATTTATCGTCCTCCCTTGAGTTGTCATGATGTTGACATTGTCTAAAGTGTTTCTTCCTGAATTTGAAATCGCATTTTATTCATTTTCTCCATTCAGCACCATCTTGACTTTTACAGAGTTGAGAATGTAAAACATTAATGCTGACTGTACTTTATGAAGTGCCTCTGTGTTGTGGTGATAATATGTTGTGTTTCTACCTGGGTGTGCTGCCTTCATTTGGGGGAAAACTCCATTATATGTAGGGGAATTTTATCAAGTACTTTAAAATTGAGTCGTTTTTGCTTTGTAACACATGGCGTTTCTTCAAAGTGGGTGAAACTATCATGATTTACAGAAACCCAGAATGTTCACTGCCAAGAAAGACTCAAAGCAGCAAACAAACTACAAAATGGAGCATGGCATAGACCTACATAGCATACAACACCATTTCCTGAAAACAAACAAACAAAACTCATTACTGACATTTTATTATCTAGAACATTAATTTGAAAAACAGGCGTTTATCTGTTGATGCATCCACCGTCTCCTCCACCTCCATTAATGCATCCACCTATTCATCCCGTCATCCATGCAGGGGACTGTGTATGACTCTATAGGCTTTTCCCAAGGGACAGCACTGGATGAAAGCCAAAAGGGGGCGTTTGTATTATACAGCCAGAGGGGCGGGACCAGAGGTGGGTGTGTGTCTCTCAGCTGATGCGCGTATCAACCGACCGACTCCATCATCAGCATCCGACGCTGACAGCGGTCGAAGACAGCATCCCTAATATTACCGACCCACGGTAACATCGCGGAATAATTCAGAGCCCAGCCGACCTGGACTGACGTTGCTGTCTTGTGACAACATTGTTTATTGAGGCTGCCATCTTACAAACCACCGAGCTGCAAAATACTGAGTAACCTTTGACGATGGACCGCCAGGACGCTACAATCGGTAAATCAAAGCCTCTGCATTATATGTCGTCAATGTCAGTGACGCTGTGCATTTTAATTTAGATTTGTATCATTGTTGTTATTATTATTCAGCGAGGGCCGTGCGTTTGTTTTTGTCTCAGGCCTAGCGAATAATTGAGAACGCAGTGGATTCAGGGCTTGATGCGGATGCTGCTAAAGCCGCCCTTGCCGCCGAGGGATGCAGAGAAAAGGGGAGAGAGAGGGAGTCGTGAGGGGAGGGGACTGAGGCAGAGCAGCAGATAGATAGGGAGTGTATTTACTACTACTACTATTCACCCAGGTGGAAGTAAACTAGCAAACGGGCTGAGAAGGGGAGGTTCCCTGGCATGACTGCCTTTCACTCTCTCTCTCTCTCTCTCTCTCTCTATCTATGTATCTATCTGTCTATCTGTCTATCTATCACAACCAGGGAAACATGCTACCCTATGATTCTGATCATGTGAATGTTTATATGTGAGCATCCTCTTAGATACTAGGCTATGCTGTAATTCAGTATAGTTGATGGCTACAGACTATATAAATATGATAGCCTAGATACAAGCATATTTACTTCTGTAAGCACATATTCTTCTTATTTCCCCACATACTCCACCGAGTTCCAGGTCTGTAGGTAGACCAAAGTAAAGCTAATGCGGACAGCAGTCCTGCAGTTAATCCTCATGGTGGCTATATGTTCTGTTTTAGATGGTGATTCAGTTTTATGGTCACGCTGGAGATGGCAGTTTGTGATTATGTTGAATTGTACTGTGAGGTGGTTGGATCTGAATTTTTGAGCATTTACTTTTTGTTTCAGTCAGTGAATGGCTAATGGGAAACAGATGGAAAGAGATGTAGATGATGCACAACAAAGCGATGTTACAGTCGGCATCCTAATCCCCTATAGACCCACTGAGAGGTGTTTCTAGTATTTAGTCTACTCTTGCTGAGTTAAATGTGATACAAAATACTAAGAACACATCTTCATTTATTGCAGCACAATTCAACTACACCGCAACTCGCAGTCTTTCATTTCATATTCACATTTAATAGGGATGTCAAGCTACTGTAAAATTAATTTGGTTCAATAACAGTCCTGCAGTTGCTCCTATGTTGAAATAGTTTAGAGAGGTGCTGATTCAACATTAAAATCATTTTGGAGGATGTAGTTCGTGGTGCTGTCCAGAGGTGTTTCTAATATTTTGCACAACCCATTTATATCAGTAAGGACAGACTAAATATTAGAAACACCTCTCTGAAGGCCAGATAAACCAGCTGGGAGGCTCTGGTAGCTGTGGGCCCCTACGGAGGCCCCACACATTCAAATTGCCCCATACTAATTTTATCCTGAACCCCAGAGACCTAGTATTTTATACATAGCTTGTGATTACTTGATTAAACACAAAATTGAGAAAGAATATACAGCATGGAACATAATGTCAAATGAGAGTATAACAAAGGTGTTAGACTAGATTTTAACACAGAGCCCCTCTCTATGACAGGACCTCGAGATTAGAACCATTAAGGCATTTACTATTTCAGTTTTTATTGTGTTTCATTGGTGCATGGTACTAAACAAAATTGCAGTTAATCAAATTACCACAAGTAATTGACACACAGGCCTGTAATATTATTTTGAGTAGTTTAAATTGTTGAGATGTTGACGTTGCAGCTGTATTTGAGAGCCAGTGACAAAGCTCCATGGCTATGCTTAGGCACCAGTTTGTGATATTTTTGTGTGACAATAATCCTAATACATGGTTATGCACAATGGTTTTTCATATTTGAGTATGACTTATTGGAGTTTTGTTACACTTTGTTCATAATAGAAATCTGACAGGGGGTTAAGATGGCTCTAAACGCATGTATCATATGAATCACAGAATAGTTCCGTGTTTGGTGTAATAACCGTGCTTTATTTCCATGTGTAGTCCGCTTGAACAAATGTGAAAGCTGAGTTTGTGGCAATGGGAAGGTTTACCACAGTAACTTTCTACATATAGTTTTTAATAAGGCTAAGAATAGAGTCACGTCTAAAGCAAAAGCAGATTTATCACTTATTAGTTAAACATATACAGCAGAGGAGTTTGTGGAACAACCTAACAAGTTTAGTGACAACCTAAAAGAAATGTCAGCAAAGGGTTAAAGCAGCATCTATCGGACACAGAGTGAACAAATGTCACAATAATGTATTTATTGCAGGGCTGTTATATGTAGATGGCTCTTTTTGTGTTCATAGAGAATGTAAACAAACAAACAAATAGAATAAAATAAAATTCAATAAAGTGAAATTAAATAAAAAGTCACCCTCCAGGTCAGATATGCTTTTGGAAAACAAATCTGCATGGGTGTGAGTGACCTCAGCATTCCTTATATTTGCAAAAATGTATACACAGAGCTCAAACTAATCAACAACTGAACACCATTACTCCAATTACAGATACCGTACCACAGAAACACCACTGTTTGTTTCCAGTGGCAACTTCTGGAGAGAAGTTTTATTTTTAAACTAAATTTTATACCCTCACGACACGTGAGGTTGTCCAGTCTTATCTGTTTGACCCTTTTCATTTTTATCCTAGTGGGAGGACCACGCTGCCCCTGTATGTGGGCTGGAACCTATTCTGCATTAGCTATTATTGTATAACTAGTCATTATGCAATTACAGTATTGTATAACACCTTTCGTTTTTCTGTGTTCCTCTAGTGTGTGTGCCCCCACTACCTGCATTAGGTTGTCATGACCCACACTACTTCCAAATGTATCTGTGACCCTCCCCAATCCTGACTCCTACCCTCTAATCCCTGACCTTTGACCCCCACTATGGGCAGTGTTGGCAGTGGGGTGGCAGGAGAGCAGGAGTTTGCCATGAAGTCTGTGGGTACGAGGACCACCCTGCCCCGAGCCCCTCCTCTTTCACGTCGTTGCCCTGCTGACCGCAGCTGCAGCGCAGAGCGACTGCCCCGCCCCCCGGCGACTATATCGGACGGGACGGCTTCTAGCGATGAACGAGGAAGTGTTAGTATCGGGACTGGGACCTGTACCGCGACTGACCGACCCACCGAAACAGCCTCCTCCACCAACACTGAATGTACCATGACAGCCCCATGCAACAACAACCAGTTGGAGTGTGGGAATGGACCGGGCAGGAGGGAAAGGGAGTGGGAGAGGGAGAGAGAAAGGCAGCGTGAGAGGGGTAGAGACAGGGACCGGGACAGAGATTGGGACAGAGAGAGGTTAGAGAGGGAGCGAGAGAGGGAGAGAAACAGGGAGAGGGAGCGGGAACGAGTGGAGAGGGAGAGGCTGGAGCGAGAGAGGGAGCGCGAAAGAGAGAGAGCCAGAGAAAGAGAAAGAGAGAGAATTGAGAGGGAAAAGATAGAGAGGGAGAGGGAGAGAGAGAGGGAAAGGGAGAGGGAGAGGG